GCCATGGCATCACGCTCACAGCAACCTCCAACTCCTGGGCTCAAGCGAGTCTCCTGCCTCAGCCTCCCAAGTAGCTGGGACTACAGGCACCTGCCACAACGCCTGGCCATTTTTTTGGTTGCAGCCATCATTGTTGTTTGGTGGGCCCGGGCTGGAGATTCGAACCCACTACCTTAGGTGTATGTGGCTGGCGCCTTAGCCGTTTGAGCCACAGGCGCTGAGCCCTGTTTCTTATTTTCTAGGGCCCACAATTGTGGGAGGAGAACAGGGAAGATAAAGTGTTAGCACAAAAACAAAACAAACAAAAAAACAACCTATGAACTGCTAACAGAACTAATGATAACTGAGAAGGAAGGAAAATAAAGCAGATTTCCCTACTGAAAGAAGCTGGGCCCAAAATAGTAAAAACAGAACCTGTCAGTTTAAGTTTAATTTTCAATTCTATCCCTTTTCCATACAAGTTTGATAAAATGTTTATTACTCCAAGAGTCTAATTTTAAGGCTTGTAACTAATTTTTGATCAATACAGAGATAATACCCAAAAGACAAAAATTCACACACATAAATTTCCAGATCATAATTCCTACGTATCTGCTAAGCTAAAAATGCATTTCAAGCCTGCAAAACTTAGCTTCAAACCACCAAGGACATTTCAATATTTGGGGATATTGCTCCCAAGCAATGAAGAGAAAGAAAAACAAAATAAAATCCATCTAAGCGAGGCACAGTGGCTCAATCTTATAATCTCAGCATCTCACACAGAGCCAAGGTGGGAGGATCATCTGAGGCCATGAGTTCAAGACCAGCGTGTGTAACATAAGACCTTATCGCTAAAAAAAATTTTTTTAATTAGCCAGGTATGGTGGTGTGTGCCTGCTGTCTCAGCTACTTGGAAACCTGAGGCCAGAGGATTGCTTATACCCAGGAATTCAAAACTGCAATAAGCTATAATTATGCCACTATACTTTAGTCTGGGCAACAGAATAAGACCCTGTCTTTAAAAAAGTAAAATCAAAAATCGCATCTTGAATAAAAAGAGGACATATCTATAATCCCAACTATAATAAATGTACCTGGGAAGCAAGGAGTAGTGGTAACTGACATAACAGAACCTTGGCACAGTGAGAGAACACCTTAAAAGAAATTAATAGCCCCATCACCACCGAAATACAACTAAAAGCCTTGAAAGTTTGTAAACAAAGGCCAGCCAGGCTTTCTTCAAAGACAACAGTTTAGTATCACTTTCCAACCCTCTACTTTCAAAAGAAGGACCTTACCTCAGACATGGAGTACCCAGCAATCTCCACCACTGTAGCTGATATCTTCTCAGGGCTCCGCTCCAGGCTGCCATACTCCCGCACGAGGCAGCGCACATTCACGGGGTGCAGGAACATGTGCTGCCCATCTTCCGCTGAAGACATGGGGCTCCATCACACAACAGTCTTGACCAGCCCTCAGGATGCCACAACTCCCCCCCTCATGCCCAAAGGCACAAGCAATCTGAGCCCCCAGGATCTAGGAGAAATAGCCTCCTACTTAGCCAGCTTATCTCTAGATAAACCCTTCTGCGGCCAACTCATCCTTCTCCTCAGGGACCCTTACCTTGGTAGAAGTAGTAACAAGGAGAACTGCTCAGGTGTGTGAAGCCTGGCTTGGTGACAGGTTCCTGCTGGCTGGACTCAATACAAATGGTCCCTTCCCCAAGACTGTCATCTGTTAACTCCGAGTAATCACAGGCCTCTGACAACCCCTCAGGCTCTGGCTCGGACACTGCCTCTTCTTCCTCTACCAGAGGGAGAGTAAGAGGACGAGAAGGGGAGTCCAGAGAACAAACTTCTGTGGTTTCTTCATCAAAAGCAGACAGATACTCTAGCACACCCTGTTGGAACAAACTCTAGGTCAACAGAAAGTGAATGTTCTGCTTTTAAGAAGTAATGCTGCAAAGGCAGGCATAAGAACCAAGCTCCCTGAATATTTACGTGAACTATCATGCTGATTTAAGAAATAATAATAAACACACACAGGAAATACTGAGTCCCCTTTTCTCTTGAGAAAGTACAGATCTAATAGCAACACCAACCAGCTCAATAGCAGCAACTGAAGAATGGAAGCCTTTTAGTCTGTAACAGGGATACACTAACCTTCCTGGGTTGAAAAACAGACTCCTTCACCAAGGGAGCCATCAGCACCAGTTGTTCTAGAGCAGCCATGACACCAGTGACCGCCCCTTTGCTTTCAGCCAATCCTGATAGAGCCTCCTCCCGAGTCTAAGGCCACGAGAGAGAAGACCAGAGAAAGGTAAATTTCCAGAAACACATTTACAGGAGCAAAAGTTAAAAGGCAACAAGATCCACTGGAGAGTGTTTAATTAGGGACTTATCTCTCTCTCTCTCTTTTTTTTTTTGGTAGAGACAGAGGCTCATTTTGTCGCCCTTGGTAGAGTGCTGTGGCATCACACAGCTCACAGCAACCTCCAACTCCTGGGCTTAGGCGATTCTTTTTCCTCAGCCTTCTGAGTAGCTGGGACTACAGGTGCCCGCCATAATGCCTGCTATTTTTTTTGTTGCAATTTGGCTGGGGTTGGGTTTGAACCCGCCACCCTCAGTATATGGGGCCGGCGCCCTACCCACTGAGCTACAGACACCGCCTCATCCCTTTTTTTTTTCTTCAGCACTCTACTGAGGATGAAAAAATAAAACTGTCTTAAAAAAACAAAAAGCAGGTTACTTTATTGCCCTCGGTAGAGTGCTGTGAATTCACAGCTCACAGCAACCTCCAACTCCTGGGCTTAAGCAATTCTCTTGCCTCAGCCTCCCGAGTAGCTGGGACTATAGGTGCCTGCCACAACACCCAGCTTTTTGTTGCAGTTTGGCTGGGGTCGGTTCGACCCTACCACCCTCAGTATATGGGGTGGGCACCCCCTACCCACTGTGTCACAAGCACCGCCCTATTTTGTTTTAACATCCCTAATCTCTCTCTTTTTTCTTTTTTTGAGACAGAGCCTCAAGCTGTCACCCTGAGTAGAGTGCCGTGGCATTACAGCTCACAGCAACCTCCAACTTTTGGGCTCAATTGCTTCTCCTGCTTCCACCTCCCAAGTAGCTGGGACTATAGGTGCCCGTCACAACACCTGGCTATTTTTTGGTTGCAACTGTCATTGTTGTTTGGCGGTCTGGGCTGGATTCAAACCCACCAGCTCAAGTGTATGTGGCTGGTGCCTTAGCCGCTTGAGCTACAGTTACTGAGCCAACATCCTTAATCTTAACAGAACCAAAAAGCATCTGTACCCACAAAGGACAGAAAGATGACATTCTTAGAATCCAACAATGACAACACTACACAAAAGTTTCCCAAACAGAAATTAAAAACAAAACTAGCTTTTTCAGTTTTATAAACTATGCTCAGAAAGAGGCCCAGAGTAGGAGGTCTGGTTACCCCTACCCTCAACCCAGACAGCCCTAATTCTAAGTAGCCTTTCTTCTACCTGAAATGGCTTCTGAACAAATATTCCTTCAAGTCAGAAAGAAAATAAAAATCAAATATGCAGGACTGTATGCCTAAGGAGAACCTGGGAATCAGAGAGGCAAGAATTAAAATTCCATCTCAGTAGGCCAAGGTGGGTGGACTGCCTGAGCTCACAGGTTTGAGACCAGCCTGAGCAATAGTGAGACCCATTTCTAAAAAGTTGGAGCTCGGCTCCTGTGGCTCAAGTGGCTAAGGCACCAGCCACGTACACCTAAGGTGGCGGGTTCGAATCCAGCCCGGGTTCACCAAACAATGACAGCTGCTACCAAAAAATAGCCGGGCGTTGTGGCGAACGCCTGTGGTCCCAGCTACTCAGGAGGCTGAGGCAGGAGTTGCTTGAGCCCAGGAGTTGGAAGTTGCTGTGAGCTTTGATGCCATGGCACTCTACTCAGGGGGACAGCTTGGGGCTCTGTTTCGATCGATAAATAAATAAATAAATACATACATACAGTTGGGTGTTGTGGTGGGCACCTGTAGTCCTAGCTACTCAGGAGGCTGAGACAAGAGAATTTCTTGAGCCTAAGACTGAGGTTGCTGTGAGCTGTGATGTCAGGGTGACAAGTGAAACTCTTAGGCTCAAGTGATTCTCTTGCCTCAGCCTCCCAAGTAGCTGGGATTACAGGTGCTGGCCATAAGGCCTGGCTATTTTTAGAGACAAAGTCTTGCTCTGGTTTAGGCTGGTCTTGAACTCCTGAGCTCAGGCAATCCACCTGCCTCGGCCTCCCAGAGTGGTAGGATTACAAGGTATGAGCCACTGCGCCTGGCCAACATCAGTGATTCTCAAAGTGTGGTCTGGGGATGAGCAGCAGCAGAATCAACTTGAACTTGTTAATATGTGTAATGGAAATGGCCAAGTCTGAGTCTACTGAACCTAGACCTATTGAAGCAATCTCTCAGAGTAGAACTCAACCATCAGTAATTCTGATGCTTAAAGTTTAAGAATTCCTATTGTGAAGTACATAGAACTTAAGGAATTCTATCCTTGGATAATTCTTGCTGCTCTAAGATCCTTAACAGGAACTGCTAAAGCAAGCCATAATACTTTCCCCACTTCATCTCTAAGATAAAATATCTCTAAAATCAAATCTAAGAATTTCCCCAGAAAACACACCTACCTTGCTTAACTAAGAACATAGCCAACCTAAGAAATTCCACTGTCAGTCACAATTTCAACTAGTTCCTTTCTAGAAAGAGCCTTAAGTGTCTCTAGGTTAGCCCTTCCTCCCCCCTCGCCAAAGCAACTCCAGGGCAAATTGCCTTTTTAGCCATTCCCTGCTTATCTTTTTTTTTTTTTGACACAGAGTTTCACGATGTCTCCCCCTCGGTAGAGTGCCATGACGTCACAGCTCACAGCAACCTCAAACTCTTGGGCTTAAGTAATTCTCTTGCCTCAGCCTCCCAAGTAGCTGGAACTACAGGCACCC